AGGTTCAGGGCTGCCAGCATGCTTGCCTCCCTGCCCCTAAACATTGTACCCACGAGAATACAGGTATGCCCTGTTCTACGAGTGGGGAGACGGTGGCTCAGAGGGGCCACAACATGCCCAGCATCACAAAGCCTTGTCACAGAGGGACCAGGATGCAGGCCGGGTGTCCCTGACTGCATCCCGCTCTTCCCTGGGCATGGCAGGTGCCAGGCAGGTCAGCGGCAAGGGTGGCCCTCAGGAGACCAAGAAGCTGCAGAGGGGAGGGGGCGCCCCAGACACGTTTTGCCACCACCGTGGCGTACACACGCAGCCCCGCCCCCACCCCGCCTACCATCGTTGTTGGTGTCCATCTGCCTGAAGATCTTGTCCGTGCGCTTCTCTGGGGTGGACTCATCCTCCGGCATCTTCATCACAGACGACACCATCTTGTAGATGGCCTGCGAATGGGGACAATGACAGTGTGCTCAGAGGCCCAGGAGCTCGGGCGGGCGCAGCAAGGGTGGGCTTCTGCTCAGTCCACAACGAGGCTGGGAGAGGTTAGGGGCTCCCAGTGGTCTTCGGGACCCTTCCCCAGTGGGGAGAATGTTCCCTAGTGAACCTCATGGGTGTCTGTGTGAAGTCCAAGAGCAGAGCTGACAGAAGGGCTCTACTGGGAGGGGGAGGGTGCTGCTATCTCTGCCTGGGTGGTGGGGGAGGTAGTGCCAGGAAAGTGCCTAAGTGTCGCTGTCGGGGGCTGGGAATGCTGAGGGAGAGAGGTGGTCACAGATACGTGAAATTCACCACACCGCCCACTGAGCTGTGTGCACTTTACTGCGTGGCTGTTACCCCTCAGTTTAAAAGAGACTGAGCCCCTCAAACTCACAGGGAAAGCCCCATCACCAGCCCCGACAGGACAGGAACCGGCAGCACCGGAGCCTCCATGGCCTCTTTAGAGCACTGCCAGCCGAGGGCTCAGCCTAGCTGCTGGTCTCTCTGCGTGTCTCTGCCTGAGTGGCCCAGCCTGGGGCACATGCCCCTGTGCTGCTGGTGGGTGTACAGGGGAGACAGTGATGGGGCGGGCGAGTGGCCACTGAGCAGAGTGACATGCGTGGGGAGGGGCAGCACTGCTGTGGGATTTTCTGAGCACTCCGTGTGAAGGAGGCTTGATAGTCTCATTCCTAAGACAAGAGACCATTTTCTCATTTTGAGAAGGAGGGAGCAACCAAGTGTCCCATGAGAAACACACACAGCCAGCCAGGGAGCCATCAATGGTGCTGGGGCACACAGCCAGCCAGGGAGCCATCGATGGCGCTGGGGGAAGCCTTTCAGGGTTTGGGGACTTGGTTTGGGGGCTGTCCCGTTTGGACAGAAGTGGCTGCTCCTCACTAGCTCGGAACAGTTCTACCAGGGCCTCAAAGTTCTCACCAAGCCTCTGTGTAGCCAGTGACAGGCACACCTATTTGCAAAGGGTAAGGGTTAACACACAGGACACGATAGGTGATTCCTGGGAAGCAGAATTCTTACTTCTGCCACTGTGTGAAGCTAAGAGCCAGAAAGCGACGACGGAATCAGAGTTCCCTGAGCCCATGTTAATTTACTCTGACGGTGTGAAAACCATCTACGTGGGAAATGGGTCGCTCACTCCGGAGGCGGCCACTGCTGGTGCAAGAGCTCATGGATTTGATACCTGCTACTGGAGGCCCACCCCTGAAGTTCCCCACCATGGCACCCCCACCTTCTGAACAGTTCCATTTTTTTCTTGTTTTATTTCTGGTCTTTTTGGAGGAAGGGTCTCACTCTGTCACCCAGGCTGGAGTGCAGCGGTGCAATCATAGCTCACTGTGACCTCGGACTCCTGGGCTCAAGCAATCCTCCCACCTCAGCCTCTCAAGTAGCTGGGACTACGGGTGCATGCCATTATGCCCTGCTACTCTTTTAATTTTTTATAGAGATAGAGTCTCACTATATTGCCCAGGCTGGTCTCAAACTCCTGGGCTCAAGCGATTCTCCAGCCTCAGCCTCCCACAGTGTTGGGATTACAGGCCTGGCCGTGAGGAGTTCTAGAACTGGATGCTCCTGGGCTCAGGGAGGCACTCAGGGGAATGCCAGGGAGGGGCAGCTCTACTCTCTACTCTCTCTCGCACACCTAGGTACCTGGCCAAGTGAACAAAACTTGGTTTCCTTCTGAAACATGGCCTTGCCTGCTAGAGCTGCATGAAGGCAGAGGGACGCCTCCCGAAGTGACGTCTTTCCCATGCTGGGCTGATTCTCGTGATCGCTAATGCTTCAGTTTTACTGGATGACTGCGCGTTCCTGGGGACATCACAAGCTATCTGTTGCATTCTCAAATCCAGGGCTTTCCCCAGGTCTTGGCAGGTACCTCTTGCAAGTAACAATAATATAATTCTTGGCCAGGCACGGTGGCCCATGCCTGTAATCCCAGCACTTTGGGAGGCTGAAGGCAGATCACCTGAGGTCCGGAGTGCGAGACTAGCCTGGCCAACATGGTGAAACCTTGTCTCTACTAAAAATACAAAAATTAGCTGGCTGCGGTGGCATATGCTTGTAATCCCAGCTACATGGGAGGGTGAGACAGGAGAATCTCTTGAACCCGGGAGGCGGAGCTTGCAGTGAGCCGAGATCGGGCCACGGCACTCCAGCCTGGGCGACAGAGCGAGATACCGTCTCAAAAAAAAAAAAGCCCTGGACTGGGAGCTGGCAGCTGGGAGCTGGGAGCTGGGATCTGGGAGGGGACCTGGTACCCCGCGTGGTGAGACCCGGGGCCTCGGGCGCCGGTACCTGCACGATCTCCAGCATCTCGCTGCGGCTGATGTAGCCGTTGCCGTCCAGGTCGTACATGCTGAAGGCCCACTTGAGCTTCTGCTCCAGCTTGCCCCGCGAGGTCACGCTCAGCGCAATGATGAACTCCCGGAAGTCGATGGTGCCGTCGCCGTTGGTGTCGAAGGTGCGGAAGACGTGCTCGGCGAACTTGGAAGCGTCGCCGTAGGGGAAGAAGTTGGCGTAGATCTTCTTGAACTCGGCCGGTGGGGCAGTCCTTGAGGAAGCCCTTGTACCACTCCTGCAGCTCGTGGTCGGTGAACTCCGTATTCTCCCGCAGGTCCTGCAGCACCTCGGGCCGCAGCTTGCTGTTCTGCTTGCCCATGGCGGCTGGCGGCGGCGACTACACCTGCAAGACAGGAGGTTAGCCGGGGACGCCACCCACGGCCACGGAGCAGGGCTGAGCCATGGGCCGGAGAGACCACATAAGCCCATCGCTGTGCAGGCACTGCGGTTCAGCAACTCCCGGGTCCCCCATCGGAAGGCATGCCACTATTTTATGGACCACCAAGAAGGCCAAGAGACCCTAATTAAATCACGACAGCCCACCCTCACACTGCGGGACATATTCTCCATATTGGAGAATGTGGAAATGTGGGGAAAAAATACAACTTAACATCAGTGGAACAGGGCATCATCCGGTGCCCACCAGGGGTTGTACAAGAGGCGAAGATTAAAAATCAGTTCTTACTTTCATCCCCCTCCTCAGCTCCAGGCAAAGTGGCCACCTCAGCCGCATCCCAGACTCTTTGGAGCAGTTCTTCCTTCTTTCAGGCATCACATTATGTTTTTATCTTTAGAATAGGCGTCTAGAAACTTTCAGGGAGTCACCCCCCAACCCTCTTTGTTTATTTGTTTTGAGATAGAGTTTCGCTCTTGTTGCCCAGGCTGCAGTGCAGTAGCAGGATCACAGCTCACTGCAACCTCTGTCTCCTGGGTTCAAGCGATTCTCCTGCCTCAGCCTCCTGAGTAGCTGGGATTAAAGGCACGCACCACCACGCCCAGCTAATTTTTTGTATTTTTAGTAGAGACAGGGTTTCACCATGTTGGCCATGCTGGTCTCGAACTCCTGACCTCAGGTGATCCACCTGCCTCGCCCTCCCAAGGTGCTGAGATTACAGGTGTGAGCCACTGTCCCCAGCCCACCCTCTTTATTTTGCCTTTGATAAACTGCCCTGGGGGGGAGGAGGATCTGGAATTAGCTCTAGGCAGTAAATGATGCTCTGAATGGAACCAGGAAAAAATGAGGCACCTGTGGGAACCAGGAACTGCTCTGCTGGAAACCATCCCCCAGGGCGGTTCTCCACGAGGCCTGAATGCAAGATTGATTAACTGACATTAACACGGCTGCCACTGCACCACCTCATGTTACTTTCTTACATTCACAGTTAACATATATACAGGGCATGATAATTTTTGAAGTACATGGAAGAATGAGAAATAAGAAGATGTCTCCTACTCTAGCCCCAGTGGTAACTACTTTGAACTCTGTCTATGTTTGTGAATTCCAAACAGTAGGCACCAGCTCTCCATTATGAAAGGTAAGACAGACCACCCACACTGCCCACCACTTCCTTTCTTCTCTGCCTCCATCCCAGGTTATTTTTTTGAGACGGTGTCTCGCTCTGTTGCCCAGGCTGGAGTGTGCAGTGGCGTGACCTTGGCTCACTGCAACCTCCACCTCCTGGGTTCAAGCAATCCTCCCAACTCAGCCTCCCAAGTAGCTAGGATTATAGGCGTGCACCACCACGCCTGGCTATTTATTTATTTATTTATTTTTGTATTTTTAGTAGAGACAAGGTTTCACACTATGTTGGCCAGGCTGGTCTCAAACTCCTGACCTCAAGTAATTCACCTGCCTCGGCCTCCCAAAGTGCTAGGATTACAGGTGTGAGCCACCACGCCCGGCCCATCCCAGGTTTTATAGTACATACATGTTTTTGTTTTTACTTATCCTCTCTATATCAATCAATCAATTAATTTATTATCTATTTATTTATTTATTTATTTATTGAGACAGGCTCTCACTGTCACCCCGGCTGCAGTGTGTGATCATGGCTCACTGAAGCCTTGACCTCTAGTGCTCAAGCGATCCTCCCACCTCAGCCTCCTGAGTAGCTGAGACTACAGGCACACACCACCACACCCAGTTAATTTTTTTTTTTTTTTTTTGTAGAAATGGGGCCTCACTATTTTGCCCAGGCGGCTCTCAAGCTCCTGGCTTCAAGCAGTCCTCCCGCCTTGACCTCTCAATGTGTTGGGACTGCAGCCGTGAGCCAAGATGCCAGGCGTTTTTACTTATCTTTATGACTTTATCTTTCAAAATTACTAACACACATTCCCTTTGACCCAGCCATCCCACTTCCAGAAACATCTGATGACACTCCCACCAGTGCAAATAATCTGTGCAGGCGGCCATTGCCTACGTGGTCGGTAACAGCAAACTACTCAGGTGCCCATCTTATGTACTCATAAGAAATAATCTTCAAGGTGTATTTCTATGTGGAAAGAGAAGCTGCACAACAGTATGCACAGCTTGTTACCATTTATGAAAAAAGAAGACAAACATATGTGCTTGTGTGTGTTTGTGCTCTGGAAGGGCTTGTGAGGAAAGGATAACATTGGCTGGGGAGGAGAGATGGCTGGGTGGATGTGGGCCCTGCGGACTTTTTATTAAGAGAGAAGGATCCTTCTCTCCTCCTGGCCAGTTAAGCCCAGCTCTGGATGTACAGCCACAGGAGGCCAGCCTCTCCAACTGCAGTTTGCCCCAGACGAGGACAAACATGGCCCCTGTTTCGTGGAGGAGTTGAGCAATCACATCAGACCTAGAACAATGTGCAGATGGGGGACCCCTGCACTCCCTGCCTCCACCATCCAGGAATGTGACCCACCCTGGGGCTTGGGGATGACGCCTGCCAGCATGCTTCAAAGGGCTCAAAAAAGTCCTGGTTCTAACATGCAGCTAGTTCACTTTGGAAACTCAATTAATTCACAAGATGAAATGGCCATAGAGATTTCTACATGAAAAAAAAGGGAATGTAAAATCAAAAGATCACTATGACCAAAATACCTGACAGAAGAGAAAAACAACCAAGATGCTACTGAGGTTTTTGGTTTGTTTGGAGAGATAGGGATCTTGCTATGTTGCCCAGGCTGCTCAAACTCCTGGCCTCAAAGTGATCCTCCCACTTCGGCCTCCCAGAGTGCCTGACAAGACTGCTATCCTGTTGGAAGAGCTCCGGACCTGGCTTGGAGATGTAGGCTTCCTCTGGATTCTGCTGTCACCGACGGCTCTCGGGTTTCACCCAGGTGAGCTCTGGAGTCCTTCCCGTGTTGCCTCAGCGGATCCCAGACAGCTCTGTGTCCAAAGAGCCCCTCTCCGGCTGTCAGCGCTGTGTCCCCCAGAACTGCACAGTGCCCAGGGGGCTCACTGGGGCAGTTCCAATTCCTAGGCCCAGATGCATGGGTTGAATCATGTCCCCGCTAAAAGATGCTGAAGTCTTAACTCCCAGTATCTGTGAATGTGAAATAGGGTCTTTGCGAGGACCTATTTGCAAAGGGAGCCTGAGGACCTGAGGGAACCTTGACTGTCGCTATGCCCCGACGTGGTGGGAACCCTCCTGACCACTGAGTTGAGGGCCTGGGCCATTGTGAAGGACCAGCCTTGCGAGGCACCTGTGGGAGAACTCATAGATGGACAGCAGAAGGACAGGTGGAGGATGGACGCCCGGCCGGAGGCCCTGCAGCACCCGTGGTGGCTTCTCCTGTGCTTTCTGCCCTGGTCCTCGGGTTGCCGTGAGTTGGCAAAGACGCACACACGCACAGCCCATGGAGCTCGCCAGGTGTTCACGTGTTACTTCCACAAACAAGTCCCGGTGGCACCGAGCCAGGCTCCAGGGCACAGGGGAAAGCACTGAGTGTGGACTTAGAGCCAGCTCCACCCATCCATGCTTGGGGGGCCTTGGGGAGGTGGTCAACTTCCTGGAGCTCTGGACTCCCCCCTGAATAACGGAAGGCCGCGTGGTCGTGATGATGAAGAGGAGGCCTGGGGCACCCGGCCAAACCGCATGTGGCTCCTTCACCATGCAGCTTTTCCAGGACCTCCTGTGTGTCAGAGAGAGTGCAGACAGTGAACAAAACTCATACAGTCCCTGCCTCGGGGGTCGACGCCACATGGGGAGCACGGCGGTGAGGAGGAGAGGGGAGGTGGCTCATAGGCGGGGCAAGGATCTGGGGGTGGCTGCCCCAGAGAACCCCCAAACTGATAGAACTTGGCAAGTGTCCTAGGAGCGCTTATGAGGACAAGGAATAACTGGTTCTCCGGGAAGGGAGGGATGGGGGTGGGGCACCTGGGAGGTTGAGCTAAGCTGCAGAGCGGGGAATGACCTCTCAGCCCCTCCAGCTCCCGCGGTCAGGCCAGTGAGTGGCAAAACTTCTAGACAAGCAGCTGCAGCAGGTTGCCTGAGGCTCCCAGGCAGCGTGAGGGCCACACCCAGCCCAGGGCCAGACCTCTCCGAGTCTGCAGAACCAGGCAGAGGTTGACCCACAGGGCTGTCCCGCTCCGCGCTATGTCCCCCAGAGCACTGAGACTCAAGATGGGGCACCCACAAACCCTGCACACCTCCGCTTGGTCAGTCCTAGGCTTCAAAAGGGCGCCCATTTTCCCATCCCTTCATCAGCTCAGCTGCTCTCAAGGCTTTCTACTGTCCGCACTCCTCTTAACTTGTGGCATTCTTGCAGCGGTTTGTCTAAGGCATCTCTAGTTCAGCCTCCTGTCTGATGCTGTAATAGCAGCAGCGCACGTGCAGAATGGACCGGTGCATGAGAAGGCTTCATTCTGCACCTGCTTGTCCTCACTCCTCACTCCTTTCAGCTGAAACGTGATGACGTTCCTCCTGGCAGTGTGTCCGTGTGTGGTTTAAGGGGATGGCATCGTACTCCTCTCTGGCATGTGGCCAGAGAGAACCAGCTGTGAGCAGAATGAGACAGCTGCTGCTATGGCCTCAACTGTGCCTCCCCCAAATTCCCATGTTGAAGTCCTAACCCCAGGTCCCTCAGAATGGGACTGTACTTGGAGACAGAGTCTTTAAAGAAGTCATTAAGTTAAAATGAGGTCACCAGGGTGGGCCCTAATCCAGTTTGACTGGTGTCCTTATAAGAAGAGATGAGGACACAGACACACAGGGGAAACCGTGTGAAGACACAGCGAGATGGTGGCCATCTGCAATCCCAGGAGAGAGGCCTCTGAAGGAACCAACCCTGCCAACACCCAACCCTGCCAATACCTTGGACTTCTGGCCTCCAGACCATGAGAAAACAGAGTTCCGCAGCATAAGTGCCCAGTGTGCAGTCCCGTGTTACAGCAGCACAGCAGCCACCCTTGGGGAACTGACCTGCGGCTGACAAACGTGTGTTATCGGTGTCTATGGGGCAGGAGTGATGCCAGGCGCCTGACCTGCTCTCCGCAGGGACAGTCAGAAGCAGCACCCATGGCCTGTGGGGCCCATTTTGTCAGACACTTTACCTATTAGTCATGCTTCACCACAAGTAAACCAACCCTGGGAGAGCCCCAGAGCCTCTGAGAGGAAAAGCCAGGGCTCAGACCAGGCGGTCCGGCTGCCCTCCCCAGGCCTTGCATGGGCAGCAGAGGGGAGGCTGGGCCGGGCAAGGGTGATGTGGTGATGGACACATTGTTGGCTAATGGCAGGCCCTTTCTGCCTGATTTGCACCCCTGCATTTTTCATTATCAAAATGAGCCACCTTCTGTGAAGTTGTAGGCCCTGGGAGCTGAGGATCACTGCCTTAAGAATCCACTCACCTCAATGAAAATCAAATCACTGCTCAGAACGAAGGGAGCAATTTATCCCAGAATGGATCTGTGATTTCTGTTCTTACCGATCCCATTGGACTGCCAAACTCATAACACTTATCTGCCTGAAATCACAGATGTGTATAGAAAGGGAGGTACCAGATCAGGGGCAGTGCCAAACCCAGTGAGCACACTGTAAGAAGATAACAGGCGGAGTGCATCATGGTCTGCTGGGGAGAAGCTCCCTGCATTCCCAGCACCTTCCTGCATGTGCCAGAGGGCAGATGTGTGTGCCTGCGGCCCCCTGCCTCACTCAGCACCTCCTCTGGAAGTGCTTCCTACCCTTCGTCCTCTCCCAGGTGACCCAGCTGGGCCTGGCACAGGGAGGGTGTCTGTGTTGGGTGAATGGACACTCTTGCTGTGGTTGCAGTTGCTGTGTATACACACATGCACAAGCACCTGCTTTAAGGTTTGGCTAACTTCAGAGGCAGGGAGGTTTGGACAAAGCTGGTATCCCAATGTGTGTATACACACATGCACAAGCACCTGCTTTAAGGTTTGGCTAACTTCAGAGGCAGGGAGGTTTGGACAAAGCTGGTATCCCAGTGTGACCCATTTTCGGAATGCAAGGGAGAGAATTCAAGCCTCACAGAGAGGAGTGACACCAGCCAGGAACCTCTGAGCTGTGTCCCAGGAGCCCAAGGGACCTTCCTAAGGCTTTGGGGGTCCACAGGATGGGCAGGGGAGGAGGAAGGACTCTGGGCCTCCGGGCCCAGCACTGACCGGAGCAGCAACCCTCTGAGCTGTTTCTGCATCCATTCTCCTTTAAAGAAAGGATTCTGCTGACACAAGCAAAGTCTGGTGCCAAGACCTGCTCATCCTAAGTTTCTAGGTCTAGCAGCATAAACACAACAGAAGAATGCGGAGGCAGAAGAGTGTAGGGACCCCCAAATAGTACAATACCTTTGCCCCTTCATTTTGAAAAAATCCCCACCCCAACAAGGAGAACAAGAAAAAGAAAAGAAAGGCTGAGCCTATGACCTTGATCACATCCACAAGGCGGTATCTATGTCCCCAAGCCCCAACACATATCAGCGGGAAGTGGGCAGGGAGATGGCAAATAGCTGAGCAGGGAGGGGGGCCAGGGAAGAGAAACAGGGCAACTAGGGCCCCAACATTCCAGAAGGGTCAGGGATAGGGGGTCCCCAGAGTCTCAAGAGGTGTGGGAGGCAGAGTCTGAAGGAATGTGCAAGAATACAGCCTGTGCCGAGACCATGTGCTCCTCTTACCCTGTTGCCTTTTCTTCCAGGGCACACAGCTGGACTACATTTCCCAGCCTCCCTTGCAGCCAGGTGGCACCATGTGACTACACTCTGGCCAATGGGATGTGGACAGAGTGATGACCACACTTTTGGCCTGGGCCTCCATAACTCTCAGGGCAGCCCTTGCTCCACGTGCCCTTTCCTGCCCGTCCTTCCTGGGCACCTGGAAGCAGAATATCCAGGGGAAGACTTGGAGGCCCCAGAAGGCACAGACCCTAAAGCATTTCTCAACCACACTTTCTCATCTGAACCACAGCCCACAGTCAATGACTGGCGTGCCCATTTCCCCAACCGGTCATGCGCCTAAAGAGGGTGCATAACTGGCTTCGTTCCAGGTGTGCAGGAGGAAAGTTATTCCCTGCACGCCATGATGCCTTCGCTGTGAGTCCTTGATTCCCTCCTGGAATCTGGCCGAGAAAGGCTGTGAGACGAAAGACCCACTAAAAAGAAGAACCTTAAGTCCTTGCGTGACTGCGTAGAATAGAACCTTCATCTCCTGCGGTGACATCCCACTGCCACACATCAGGAAACACCACTTCATCGGGCCAGGCAGAGATTGGCACTTGCTTCTTACAGCAATTAGCCATCCCTGACCAACAGAGAGCCCTGTCCTGCGCCTCAGCAGTCAGGTAACCACCCCTACCCCAACCCCATCTCCCAAGCGGGGCCGGGGAGGAGTCTTCTCTGGAAAGACGCGGGACAGGAGAACAACAGGCCCAGAGGAAGGCTGGTGAGGAACCCACAGAAGATGAGTGAGTTGAGGGAAGTCCGGCCTCTCCAGTCTACCTCCCCGCCCTGAGCAAGCGGGTAGCCAGCCGGGATCAGCCCCCCAGCAGGGGACTGGAGGACCTTTCTCCAGGGAAGTGGAAACTTCAGCCTGTCCTTGGGGCCTGGTGCCCGGCTGGGTGCTCGGTGTATTCCAGGCTGTCGGGCCCTCTGAGTGCCGAATCCTGGGCTGAGCGCTGGGATGTCCGTCCCCAGTCACCAGCTCCCTGAGGGGCTTGAGTTATGGTGTAGGTGTGCCCAGGATGGGGCATAAAAAGTGAATAAAGTGGGGCTCCAGAGGAGTCACTCATTCCCGGGGTACTCAGCGGCTTGCCTAGAACAATGGCATTTGGAATCACAACTGAATGACAAGGAGGATTTCAAAGGCTGCAGGAGGCCCAGTCCCCGTAGGCCACATCCAGGGGAGGACGCAGTGAAGATTCTAGGAGCTGGGAAAGTGGGGTCACTCCTGGCTAAGTCACTCCTAGCTCCACCTTAGGGACAAGGGACCGAGGCTTTGGTGGAGTGGTGGGCTGTGGACCCAGCAGCTCTGAGTGGAGAGCCCACCTCCTTCCCGTTGTCCTGTAACCTCCCCTGGGCCCTTTCCGTGCCAAGACCGTGCCAAGACCACAAGCAGCCGCAGAGGCCACCCAGGGTGCTGCCGGCTGGTGTCCAGCGCTCTCCTCACCCTTAGACTTGCTCGCCAGGACAGCTTCGCAAGATGGCCTCCCCTCTGAAACTGGTAAATGGAGCCCCTGAATGCCAAATGAAGGTGACGGCCGCATACACGCTCCCAGTCACTCACTGGGATGGCCAGTGTATGCTTATTAACAAGGGCCCAGATGAAACATGAATCTGAAGGACCTCATGTTAGCTCTCTCCCGGAGGCTGTCGGGCCCGACGCAGGCTGCCTCACAAGAAGCGGGGGGCGGGGGCGTGCTGCATGCCACTGTGACCCCTCTGTCATTCATTAAGCAAAGGAGCCAACCTTATTGGTGCTTGGCTGTCTAGTAAGACGACTGAGAAAAATCTAGCCTTTCTGCAGAGACGGAAAGCCACCACTCACGTTTCCCGGCAGAAACGGCCACCTGGCTCCAGTAATTAGGCAAACCCAGCCTTTATTTCTCAGGAAGTCTTACTTTCATCTCCGAGGAGGATGGTAGGGTATGGAATGGGGGACCCAGGGGAGGGCAGTGTATTTGAGAGCAGAGCCATCTCCTGCTTGGCTTAAAAAGATTCACATTCAAGCAGCACTCGGATCAAACTAGTAACAGTTGTCTGAGGGCATCAGAGATGATGTTTGAATTCACGGTGATGGAAACACGGGAGAGGGAGTTAATGCGTCACTCAGAGCCACCTCTCTGATTCTCAGTTACCCTGTTATTGTTCTTAATCTGCTAAATTGTAAAAAAAAAAAAAAAAAAGAAGAAGAAGAGGAACAAGGAAAGAAATGTAAACACATAGCTGGGAAGCCCTGTGAGGAGTAGTTAACCCAGAGTCGGTACTACCTGTACATTAAAGCCTGTTTAGTGGCATAATTCTAGCAGCTGCTCAGTGAGGCTCCTGGGAACCGATGGCTTGACTATCCTGTTACTCCCACCTCAGTACCCGCTGACGGCATTGGTTGGCATCTCATCTCATCACTCCGAGATGCTTTCATCAGTCAGATCTCCGAAGCTTGCCAGACCAACCAGACTCTGAGATGCTTTGAGGGAAGGCAATCAGAGAGGTGGGGAACACCAAAAGCTTATGAAAGACCCAGGCTGGCCTGGGTGCCGTGGCTCACACCTGTCATCCCAGCACTTCAGGAGGCCAAGACAGTGGATTGCCAAAGCTCAGGAGTTCAAGACCAGCCTGAGCAACATGGTGAAACCCCGTCTCTACTAAAAATATAAAAAATTAGCTGGGCGTGGTGGCATGCACCTGTTAGTCCCAGCTACTCCGGAGGCTGAGGCAGGAGAATTGCTTGAACCCAGAAGGTGGAGGTTGCAGTGAGCCGAGATCGTGCCACTGCACTCCAGCCTGGGCGACAGAGCAAGACTCTGTCTTTAAAAAAAAAAAAAAAAAGCAGTCTCAGGAAGAGACTGGAGAGGCGTTCGTTGTGAATTTCAAGGAATCAGAGGGCTCAGCCCATTTGAGATGAGAGCTTATTCTGCCTGGGGTGGAACAGGAAGGTGGAAGGCAGACGGGGCCGGTGGAAGGCAAGCAGGTCTGTGCTCTTTCTTATGTAGCACCCATCCCAGTTCTTTCTCTCAGTACCGCTGGACCCACACAGCTCCTGCAGCTAAGCCCCTCTCCTAGGGCTGACTGCATTTTTCAAAGCAACTCGGGCCTGTGTCCTTCTTTCCTCCAAATAAGCAAGTGAGTCAAGTTGCCTGCAGCCTTAGCTTCCCGGTAGTTCTCCAACGAGGGGCCAGTTCTGCCCCTGGGTGACTGCGGGGAGACTGTGCCGGCTGCCAGGACCCAGGTGCAGGGAGGAGCCGATGCATCTGGGACCATCCAGGCTGAAGTGCGGCTGGGCCGACACTAGAGGGTGCTGTTGAACAGGCTCCCAGGGTCTGAGCTGAGATCCCGCCCCTCTCAGGTGCCTCCGCGTCTCCACCTATAAGCTATGGCTGCTTTGTCCACTACGGTCACCACCAGCCACACGTGGCTAATGAGCACATAAACGGTCGCCAGTCTGAACTCATATATGTGCCCTTAGTGTAAAATACACGCTGGATTTTGACGACTTCATGTGGGAAAAAAAAATGACAAAATATCTCATTAATCCTTTTTCTTTCTTGATTACATGTGAAATGGTAAATGATACCATTTGGGATCTAATGGGTTAAATCAAACAAGTTTTAAATTTCATCTTTTTTACTTTTCAGTGTGACTATAGAAAAAGTTACAATCACACAGGTATGTGTCTCCTACTATAGTTCCCATGGGCAGTGCTGGGTAGAAGCAGCATTCACTGGGTGATACCAGGGACCCTGGATCTGGGGCCACCAAACAGGGACTCTTCAAGCTCATTAGCATCCTGTGGTATCCTTTATTTATTCACTCCTTAGTGCCCTTGAATGAAAGATCATGGTGTTCGTATTTCACAGTTACCTGTGAGTCCCACACGGTTCTCTTTTCAGCAGAGAGGGCTAGCCTGAGAACGCTGCCAGAGGCCAGCTGCAGTGAGGACCCCAGGTCTGAGCCTAGCTAAGGAATGAGGCTGGTGGGGAGGGGCTGCAGAAGGAAGAGTTTCCTCCTCCTCTTTGGAGCTGGAACAGCCAAGCCTGCTGAGTCAGCTCTGGGGAAAGAGGAGGTCAGTAACACCTCTAGAGTGACAGTTCCAGGGTGTGCCTGCACCTAAACCCAACCCACTGACCTACAGCTCGTTTCTGGAGGCCTTCCTGAAAGCTGTTGCATCACGGTGTTTTGCCCACTGGATGGGCTCCAGGCCAATAACCTGTTGTTGAGAAATCAACTGAAACCTTCCTGACTTCTTACCCATTCCCAGCCTCTTAAACTCCTCACAATTCCTCAAAGCCTTACAAGAAAAACATAACATACAAGAAGAGAGAGAGAGAGAGACCCAGCAGGGCATAGAAATCCCCTCCCTCCACCCATCCCTCCTTCTTTTCCACCCTCTCAAGGCCGAAATGCCCTAAATTAAGCTGGCGAGAAGGAAGAGGTGGAGAAATGAAAAGGGAATCCCCAAGAGATGTACTTTCCCTTGCAGAAACTGCTACTGTGACAGGAAGAGGAATGTGTGGGTGGCTGTCCCTGCACTCTGTGCCTCTGCAGATATGAGTTCACCCGTGTGGCACGCTCGCCTCAGCCACCCAGCCAACCCCTACTCATTCACCAAAGCCCAATGCAAAGGCCACTCCTCAGGCATGCCCTTCCCAGTCCCTACAACTGCTCTTCCCTTTGAATTCCAACAGCATTTTTCTAGTATGAACTCAGCTTTGGACACATCACTTATTTGTCTTTTTCCTTCATTAGACTGGGAGCTCCTGGAGGAAGGAGAATCCTTCATTTGTCCCAGTTGGAGAAGCTGCTCAGCGTGTTCCAGCCTCAGGGCCTTCGCACCTGCAGTTCCTTCCACCTGTCTGCTCTTCCTTCCCCTCAGTGTCTGCCAGGCTCACTCCCTCCAAGTTCATGACCTTGCTCAACAGTCATCACCTCCTCCAAGGCCCCACCTCAAAGAACATCCACCCTCACCCTCTGGTCCCTCACCCTGACCCCTTTCCCAGCATTTCCTGCCACCTGGCACTATATTTACAAAATCTCTTGACTGTCTGCCTCTGTTTGTTCACCACTGTACCCCCACAGGGCCCAAAACGGGGCTTGGCACACAATTCAGTCAATATGTTTGAATGAACGGTTGTGTATTCCAAGGGCCTAGCATAGTGCCTGAGCAAATGAACAAAGGAATGAGTGAGTGGTTCTTTTCTAGGATCCCTCTTGCTCTAACATTCTGTGACTCTTCCAGGTTTAGGAATGGCTGGAGGAAGGTCAGCGGTTAGGATGGTCAAGTGCTCTGCTCAGATTTGAAGCTCCAGACGGCACATTCAGACTGGGTATTCTGGAAATCTCCGTTTTCTGGCATGGAAACAGCTGCAGCAGAGTAGAGCTTTGGGGGCATGCCAGATTTGGGGGTTCCATTCATCAAACTGGTGCCAAACTCCTTCCCAGGTGAACACATCCCAGTTCTATGGTCCTCAGCCAGGGGGGTGGGGGACAGGATGGGGGACTTCCTGTTACTGTCCAGCAAGATCATTCCCTGGACCCATGCGGCATCATCACAGAACCAACATCACTCCAGCTTGAGTCTTTGGGGAGGAGCTCTTTGAGCTGCCTCTGCAGCAGAGAAAGGGAGGTGCGTGAAGCAGACATACATGAGCCTCTGAGGAGAGCACGGAGAGACAGGAAAAGGGAAACGCCCAAGAGAATGCTCCCATTCCATCCAGAACCCTAACTCAGCAGGAAAAGGAAGCTCAAAGGCACGACCAAAATGAGGCCACAGACTTTCTGAAAGCAACCCCCGACCCACGTACATCTGTCCCTGTGACGGTTCCATGTTTCTACAGCGGTGGAGGGTGCCGGATGCCAGGCGGGGAGCAGAGCCGTGCCAGGGCCAAGTTGGAGCGAGCCCGGTGGGAATCTGGGTGTGGAGTACTGGCCACAGAGCCTGGGACTTCCTCTGCCCCCACCCAGCATCTCGCTTTGAAGGCAAATTTGGGGCTTTCAGTGACAGACCCCAGAAACACCAGGATGCAGTGGGAGTGAGGTCTCTGAACTGGTTCCCTCACCCACACCTCAGTGGTTCCCGAGTCCTGTTCCATGCTGGGTGTAGGCACACATGGATGGATGAGACACAGAGACCCTTCCTGGGGCTCCTTGAAGTGACTCCCCCCACACATGCCCATGAAACAGCGGTGATGGGCATTAAGAGACTTAATGCGGGCCCAGGAGCTCGGGCGCAGGGCACAGAGGTCAGCTGGGATGGGACAGAGCTGAGGGCTGAGCCGAGGCTTAAAGGTTCCAGGAGTTCTCCAGGTGGGACAGACAAAGGAAACAGTGTGTGCCAGGGAATGGGGGCAGCGAGCACTGAGTCCTGTGGCACTCAAGCCCCGCACGACGAGGAGTCCCCACACGCCACAAAGGACTCCAGTTTCAGTAATGCTGGAAGGAATGACTGAAGGAATTAGTGCGGAGCATGACTGTAGGAGAACGCACGTTGATGACAACAAGGAGGGGTGAAGGAGAGAAACAGTAGAGGCTCAGCGTGCCCACCTCCCCACTACCCGGCAACGCTCCATAGAACACTGAGAATAATTCTATTACTGTTCAATCACACAATAAAAGCTCAAAAGTTGAAACAACCATGTGAATCGCCCAACTTCCCATTCGCAGGGACTTGGCGCATACCGCAAGCTAACTGCTCTGTGGGAGAAAATGTAAGAGGGCACAGCAGGCTGGAGATCCTGAGGCTTTAGACGCTCCTTCGTCAGTCCCTCTAGATGTGACCCTTCATGTAGTCAGCCAGAGCTGGCGGGGCGCTGCTCCCTGCCCGAGGCCCCCACCCTGGCTTGGCTGTGCTGATGACGCCTGGTGATTTGGTATGCCAGCCCCCAGGCGTCTTGGAGCGCATTCTTCCTGGCTCTTTGTGCCAGCTGCAGAATGACTCAAGCACTGACCCATACCTGGGTGGGAAGATCCACACGTCAGATGGCAGAATCCCGTCTGCAAATTCCACCCTGATGTTCCGGGCCAGGAGGCGAGCAACAGCTGTTCCCCAGGGAACCACGTCTCACCCTAGCAGGGGCAAAACTGAGACTACGGGGCCAAGTCTGCTGTCGAGTGCCTCAGCCTGCCCTGCCAGCAGCCCGCAGGCAGCACCCCCTGGAGGGGCCGTGGAGGGACAGGCAGCTCTTCCAGG